CGGTGGATTCACCCGTTCTATACTTCTGGTGATGAGACTAGTGACAGTCAATTGATGCCTTGTATACTTGTGGTGACCAGACCAGTCACGGTGGATTCACCCCTTCTATACTTCTGCTGATGAGACTAGCGGAACTCAATTGATGCCTTGTATACTTGTGGTGACCAGACCAGTCACGGTGGATTCAACCCGTCTATACTTCTGGTGATGAGACTAGTGACAGTCAATGCATCTCTTCGATACTTGTGGTGATGAGACCAGTCACGGTGGATTCACCCGTTCTATACTTCTGGTGATGAGACTAGTGACAGTCAATTGATGCCTTGTATACTTGTGGTGACCAGACCAGTCACGGTGGATTCAACCCTTCTATACTTCTGGTGATGAGACTAGTGACAGTCAATTCATCTCTTCGGTACTTGTGGTGACTAGACTAGGGGTAGTCAATTCATGCCTTGTATACTTGTGGTGACCAGACCAGTCCCATTATACTCGTCCATCGGAAACTGGGGATAATCGCTAGTCACAGTATATTTCTCGTTAGAAGACTTCTGATGACCACAGCAGTGGCAACATAGTCATCCTGTGGATCGTTGTGATAATGACACTGCTCCCGGTGTAGTGATCTTTGGGATATGTTTGGTGGGCGGGTGGTGAGATGTGTATGTGGACTTTGTTTGATTTCGTGGATAGTTTAGCGGAATAATATGTGGGATATGGGTGACATATGGAATATATGTAGTTGGAAGATGGTATGCTTTCGAAATTAGATAGTGTGGAGAGTTATGCTTCGCTGAATTTGAGACGGAATATATTGGAAGATATGTGTTGAGGTGAAATTGAATTATGTAATGCTCTGTATAATTGCTTTTTGATGGTTTTAGCGGGCTGAATAGAGTGACGATGTAGTTGCGTGCGAAAGGGAAGGGCATGGAAATTCGAGGTATGTGTGAATCGCGTGGTATACCCTGGATGAAAATAAAGGCGCCGTCTGAAATGGTCGGCGTGAAGAAATGTCTCGGAGAAAGAAAGAACCGGTTAGCGATGGAGAATTTCATCGACATGTGCGGCGAAAAATCGTTTTAGTCCGTCATGACGATAGAAGAAGTTGATTCGAATGGTTTGATCACCAGAGGGTGACGATATTCGTTTAGTCGAGGTCAGCGATAAGTGCTTAGTAGACTAGAGAAAACAAAGAAGAAACAGTTTGCTGGCGAAGCGTATAAATTGATTCACATACATATATCTACATCTGTGTGTGTATGTAAGTAATACATTCTTTTGTCGGAAATTGTTGGTCTGTGGTTGTTTGATGACGAAATTATTGGTTTTTCAATTAAATCTTTTATGATTCACATTGTTTATATATAGATATCATTAAAAAGTTTTCTTCGGATTTTAAAGAGGTTCGAAGTGAATGTGCGTGGAGAAGTAAAGAGGCGCCTGAATGAACTCAAAACAAGTAAGCGAAAGTCAAGTAGTCGGAAGTTCGTCGGATTCGGATGATGAGAATGGTACTAATGATGGATATGATTTGGAAACGTGCATTGAAGAATGTGGTGGAATTGAAAAATTCTTCAAATCGCCGACAATTATATTGTACAACCGGAACTTACAAAATCAAAGTGAGATTTCAGATTTTTTTTCAGAAATGAGAACCACTTGGTTAACGAAAAAGAATCAATTCCAGCGAGATATTCTATAGGAAAAGTGCAGACGTTTGGAAATTTGGACGTATTAATGTTTGTGTCTTTTAGCTGATCTTGAAAATTATATTCTGGAGCATCTACCTGACTACAAGGACAACATATGCTTATTTCCTGGCGTGAAAGGCTCCGACGAATACAAACAGAAAATCAATGGATTATATCGCTCATATCGATCAAAATCGACCAGTTCAACAATTTTATTCAAAGGGAGTTCATCAAAATCAACACCAGCGCAGCAAATATTGATGAAGAATAAAAATATGTATCTATATGTGGATGCCGTAATGAAAAATAAAATATCCAAGATGAAGAAAATTAAAGTTCGTAAAGGTGTGTACAATCATGATTTGCTACTAGATTATGTATATGTGCGTGTGTACTTTAGGCACAGGAGACCAGAAAAATGTCGGTAACCTCGACAATAATACCGATGACGAATCTGAGGACTGCGGTGTTTCGATACAATGCATACAAAAGCCTCACGGTATGTTGTTGAAACAAATTCTGTTCATGTCTCATGCAGCAGGGCAGTCATGAATCAATTGCACCGTTGAAAATCATGAAGACGTTCTACTTTCATCAAATGAGATCAGATGACCAAGACTGTATTTCAATTTCGGGTGTGTTTCATTTAGGTTCACCTGGTTGCAGTTCAAGAGCATCTCTGAATTGGAAGGGCGGGTCAAAAAATTGTAAGTAAATTCTTTCCAAACGTTTTACTTGAATGTTGATTATGTCTCTGCCATCGTATTACTAATATAGGTGGCTTCTACAGACTTTTCGACAAACAACAAGAGGTGAAAGAATGCGTCAGTAGTGTACTAAGCTACGGTCGTGATCATGGAGTTCTCTTATCTGGCGTACAATTAAAAGCACTATTCGACATTCAAAACGTTGAAATTACTAAGAGTAGAGCTAATGATATCGTTCAATTGATTTCCACCTGTGTGGATGTTATCATAAATCCACACTTTGTAACACCAACAGCTAAAGGACCGTGAGTTATCACATTCGGTATAATTCTTTTCTGGATGCATTTTTTGTGACAGAATCTACGAAATTAGTCCAGATAACAAACTAATTGAAATATATCCAACAAGACCTGTACCGGTTCCAAGTTCAATATTAGAAAGTCTTAAAAAGGTCAGTACATCATTTTCAGGGCGCTTCTAATTCTAATTGAACCTTTTCATGTTTCCTGGATAGAAGAAAATGAACAGCTTGTCAAATACCCATCCAATCGTACCACGAGTAAGTTTCTATACAAAATTTGTACTATTCTTTTGATCCTTAGGTAATAATGAAACTTTTCTTTCTCGTTTCCAGTTTGTTGAAATGGTGAATAGTCAACAAACTTTGCTTTTTGTCGACAAGAATAATGCTGATACAGATAAACCTGCTGATGTGAGTATTGACCTCATCCGGATCGTTATTTAAGTCTGTTTTTCATGTACTTTTTATTTCCCGTTTATCAACACAGAGTGCACAAACAGAACGAAACAAAGCAAAACTTATCGCTGAAAACAACTGTAATGAGAATAGTTCCTCAAAGCCTGAGCAAGGTGACTTCAAAGTAATTTACTGCTAATCTGTCGATTTTTTTGTCAGATTCTCATCCTTACATTTTGTTTACTTGTCGCGTAGAAAACTGGTGAACGTGTTGAAATCAATTCTTACATAAGAATCGATAATGATGAATTGAACCAAAACATCATTGAAAATCATAATATCTCATCATCGTACGGTCCAATGAATGAACTTGAAAACGACAACTACCACGAAAACTTCAATAAGAATATTCCCCGCAGTTCGACGCCCATCAAACAACAGAAAAAACATCTGGTAAGTATATTACTACATATGGGCAGAGTGCAGTGTTCATAGAAAGACTCACTGTTTCACATGGTTACTTATCTTTACAGACGCCATGTGTGTCAATGGATACTGATCAAAATGAGTCATCTACGGCAGCTAATCTGGATGATCAAGCTTCATCGGAAGTGGAAGCTTTGCCTCACGCACCTTGCATTGGTTCAGTAGTTGACGAAAACAAAGGGAAACAAGTCGGAGTTGCGTCAACTTCACCATTTTCGAAATTAAAAGGCACCGCAAGTGAACAAGCATCGACAACTTCCGTCTCCACCTCCAACGCTTTCCATCATTCAGATACATGTGAAGAAGTATCTCGACATCCAAGCACAAAGCAACAAGGAACATCACGAAAATTGCATGAAAAAAAGCAAACTAAGAGCACTGCATCTAGTCGAAAGAAACCCGAATCGCAAGTTCCTTTTTGTTGACTTTATGATAGTCTATTGGTTTTTATTTACTTTCTTTATGACAGTAATGAACGTCGTCGTTCTTCATTTGGTTTACGTCCAACAACCAAAAAGAAGAGACAACAAAAGTGCGCCACTCCATCTTTGAAACGAAAGTCGGATCAGCAAAACAAAGACTTAGTCACATTCGATATATCGCCAAAAAAGAGAAAATTGCGTGAAAATGAAGCGTCTTCAGTAGGATATAAAATATTAACAGAAAATGTTGGAAAAATTCCAAAAAAAGCCTCAGAAAATGAGATTAACGTGTCTTCAATCACTGATCAATCAATCGATTGATTATCATGAATAGAAACAGACGTTCTTTCGAGATTGTTCTTATAAATAGTACAACAAATATGAACTTTTGGCTTGTTTTCTTTTCATTTTTTTGTTTTATTCTCTATTTTGAATGGAATCTAGTATTTTGTTCACTTTCATACTTTAAGTAAATGTTTCCTGTGTATTATTTTGTTTCTTCGATGATATGAAAATAAAGTATATTAGTTATCTTCTATGTTTATTTATAATATAGAACAAAATAGATTGTGAATCCAGGAACCAATTGCCTCACACGATTGAAATAAGGAAACTTCAATTCAATTGAATTCAAAGCAGTTTTGGTAACTTTGCTTGCTTAACATGAATTTTCCTTATTTTTTTTAATTTTCAGGTTGTTCTTATTGCCATTCTTTTCTTGTTCATTGCTATGAATCCGAAGAAAATATCTAAAACTGGTGACACTCCAGCACTTCCTGTTTTGTCGCAACCTTCATCAATATCATCGCTTAGTTCTCATTCAACGCCACAAAATGATACGCTGACTCAAACACAATCGCTGCAGCTAGAGTATAAAGATTCGAACCCGCTTCGCCAACAACAGTATCAAGATACATATCCACAGCAATCGCAACTGCAGGTTTTGTCACAAGACGAATGGAATTTAATACTGTCCTTTCGAATGATGAAGAATTTGACAGTTTTACCATCGTGCCAACTACCATTTTCAGTGCATCATCAAACTAATCATTCAACTTTGTCAGCAAGGATTTTCCCACCTTCTCAATCAGATGATCAAGAATCAACGTCGATGATTGTAGGAATACCGTCATTTTCGGTTAATGTTCCATCATTCTCATCATCAGTCGATACAGTGTCATGTCCACCTATACCAATCCCAACCAATATTCCATTTTCAGCAGCAGCATCACTTTCAATAACTATTTCACCACCAACATCATCATCAGCAGCCTCAACAATTTCGTTATTACCATTACCTCATCACAACGATTCATTCGCACTACAGTTTCAGTCGCAAATTTCTACTTCAGCAGAAACAATCGTTACATCGTCGTCAAATCAGTCAAAAGGTTCAAACCAGTATTCCTCGGCGTCTTCTCATTGTCATCAATTATCTGATTCGAATGCACCAATAACATATAACTATGATTCGTTATCAAAAGGACCGCTTGTACAGTTGCTCGATCCAACGAAACCATATACGATTGGCGACGCGTTGAAAGTTGGAGGGCGTGTTTTGACATCCGATATTTCATCGATGAAATACTGGGTTGAAGACGATATAACAATTGCAGAAACGGCCGCAGGTGGTCATATATTACACATGGGTGGATATTCATATCTTATTAGAAATCATGGGAAGAATTTTACTGCTTGGGAGTGCCAACACAGACGTAAGCAGCACTGTTCATCAATTGTTATTCGATCTTCGGATCCAACCATCAAAAATTATTTTCGTATATATTCGATCCAAGGCGAACATATTCATGAATCCTCTCCAGAGCATATCGAAATACGCACGTTTAAAGAACGCATTCGAGATCGTTGTCGTGATGAACTGTCTTCACCAAGAAAGATTTATGAAGATGAACTGTTGAAAGGGAAGTACTCCACCGAAATGCTGGCGCTACTACCCACTTTCTATAACATGCGTGAGTACAAAAACTTTCGAGCTCCCGCTCACAGAACTGAACCGAGAAAACGTCAATATAGCCGTCAGATTCTAATGATCAGTTCTAGGATTTTCGGTTTGCTAAAAAAAGAGCACTTCAGTGAAAAGATTCAAGCGTTACATAACTGCTCCTTTCAGGTTATGGAAAGTTTTTCGTACATTTTTGTTCAATCTTTTAGATTCTCACTTATATCGAATCAGACTGCAACATCTGCCAACATCTCCAACTGACCATGTGTTTGTTCTACACCCAGGATTTACTACTACAGATAAAGGAGAAAGGTTCTTACTCTATGATTCGATGGCTGTTGACGTGTCCGACACTCCTGTGCCAGCAGAAATTGGTCGTTTATTGATTTATTCCAGCGATCTACAGCTCAGCGTTCTATCAAAGTCTCTTCGTGTGGGTAGCGATGGAACTTTCGCAACAGCTGCTCAAATCAGTCAACAAAACTACGTTTTGATGGGCGACGTCGAAGAAACACATGCAGGTAAATAATAGCTTGGATTCTTTTAGTGCTCGCAATCTGATTGTCACTTCTTTAATTCTTACTTCTAGTACCGTTAGTTTTTTGTTTATGTGAACGCAAAACGTATGAAACATATCAACTGATAATAAAAATCTTGAAAAACGCTATGGCAAATTTGAAGCTGGTGTGGAATCCACACTATTGGATGAGTGATTTTGAAGGTGGATTAATCCGGGTTATCAAGGAAGAGGTGAATATGCAAAGTTTTAAAACTATTTTGCGATTGGTTTTCTTCTGAACTGTAAAAAAGATCGATGAAAATAAGACATTATATGTCTAAAATATACTAATGATTATAAACTGTATCCGAAAGAAAATATTCAAAAAGACATGAGATAAACTTGTGCTAATTTTTGAGAGACATAAGTACCAGTCGATTCTGGTGACCAGATCTCCAGATATTGCAATATCACTTGATTTTGACTTTACTCTTTGTTTGTAGTTTCCTGAAACAGAAATACTGGGCTGCACGTTTCATTATTGTCAAGCAATATATCGTAATATACAGAGCAACGGTTTGCAGGAATCATACCAAAATATCGATAAAGTTCAGCAAATCTTTCGACATATTATGGCATTGGCATTCATACCATATGAGCAAATTAGAAAAGTTTATTTTGAAGTAATTAAACCGGAATTGAATGCCATTCCTGCGAAACCAGTTTTTCTTCGTCAAAACATACGATTGTTTTTCAAATATTTTGAGTCGTATTGGTTAAAACGAATTGATCAATTCTGCGTATTTGACTATCCAACCCGCACCAATAATGGATTAGAGGGTATGTGTACATTGATTAATGAAATCTCTTTTCTTTAAAGATAAATTATTTTCCCACTTACACATCTACCACTAGAAACCTAATTTGCAGCTATAGGGGAAACAGTTGAATTTCAAATTTTGGCGAAATTCGTGAAATGAGGAGATATACGTTTATCTCGAATCAACAGTAATGTTGATTCGATCTGGTATCTCAGTGTCTTACCTCGCGACAGTTTAATTCGGTCATTTTTATGCGTGAATCTAAATCTAAATCTTTGTTTTATCATAGGTTATAACAACAAAATGACCGCACAATTAAATGCTCACCCACACTTATACAGATTACTAGTCTGGTTTGAAAAAGAAGAATTGCTCGTACAGCAAATAGTTGCTAAACTGAATTTCAATCAACCGGTTTATAAACGGAAGCAAACTGCTTTGACGATTCTTATCAATGACTCTTTACAGTCTTTATGGGACGACTACAAAGCTGGCAAACTTTCGACTCAGCAGCTTTTATTTGAGTCATCAAAATGGGTGGCGAAAAAACTTTAACAAAATCACAGACATACAATTTTACCACGACACCGCAATAAACTTTCATTTTTCGCGTTGTTTTGTTCTCTCGTCTAACTGATGAAATGACTTACTTGCCTCTACGATTATCTATCCATGAATTCAATATTCTATCGATCATCGACACAAGCTATTTATTTCATGTACTTTGTTTGAATAGTTGAAGATTTTGATCACTTCATTGACTGAAAATAATTTCTGACTGGCTGAATTTTGTAATGATGCTTGACTTCCATTTTCATTTTTTATTGTTTTTTTTTCAACTTTATCTTAAAAGTCAAACTATTTTCTTCTCTCTTTTCGACAATCTTCCATACTCGAATGCACTTCTATTTATTTGGCAACTTCTAATTTTCAATTTTCTCTCGACAAATATCATTGTTCTTTTGACAATGCTGCGAATATCAATAATAAACCAATCGGAAACCTAACTCTACCAGTCATTTATTGAAAAAAATTACATCATTCAATTCTCCTCCGTCTCTCTCCATTATCATGAACAAAAACATTTGATTCACAGTTCTTTTCTCTCTGATCTGGTCACCAGAAGTATCCAAAGGATGGCTATACTGTGACTAGTCTGGTTACCAGAAGTATCTAAAGGATCACGATAATTTGTGTGGTCTGGTCACCAGAAGTATTTAAGGGATGGCTATACTGTGACTAGTCTGGTCACCAGAAGCATCCAAAGGATGACTATACTGTGACTAGTCTGGTTACCAGAAGTATCTAAAGGATCACGATAATTTGTGTGGTCTGGTCACCAGAAGTATCCAAAGGATGACTATACTGTGACTAGTCTGGTTACCAGAAGTATCTAAAGAATCACGATAATTTGTGTGGTCTGGTCACCACAAGTGTTCAAGCGATCAAGATACTGTGACTAATCTGGTCACCACAAATATCCAAAGGATGAATATACTCCACCTGGTCTGGTCACCGCAAGTTTCCAATTAATTGTTCGTTTCTCTCTGGTCTGGTCACCAGAATCACTGAATGCATAGGTTCTGTGCGTGTAAGTTGGTGAATAGAGTTTAATAGTTTCGCAGTTCGGTTTTATCGGGTCTGGCCACCAGATATAGGTGTAGTATGTATTACTAGTTGGTTATAAAGTAGTAGTAAGGAATTCGGTGGTAGTACAGGGGAAAGTTAGTTAGTGAATTTACTAATTGAAGTTATAAGTTACCATCGGAATAAACTCATGTGTGCGAAGTCCCTAAATGGTGGCCAGAAGTGGCATAATTATTGAATGGTCCCTATTCAGGGACTTTTTTCTGGGACCGATTCTGGGCACCACAATTCTGGGCAAATGAGTGCCATTCGGTTTAACAATAAATTTTTCACCATTAAATTGTATAAATTGTCGATTTTTCATATAAAAATCAAAATTCTTTTGTCTTAATTCATCGAATGTTTGAGCATTGTTGTCGAGATTCCTATTGTCAATCGATGATAGTTGACCTTCCGATACTGCACGGCGCCACGCATCTGCATTATAAATTGACATGTCATCACCAGTTATTCGCAGAGTTTTCGACGCATTGCTATTCGGATACGAATCATCTTGGAACGTACCTAATGCATCACGCCAATCATGACTATAGTGATTTGCATGAGCATTAGAACTGCCATCAATATCGGTTTTGTTTGACCATGCGAAAAACCAGCACTAAAACTTCCAATACCGACGTTATTAGCGCTAATACTTTCGCCTCTGGTACGTTCAATGTGTTTACTATTTGATTCACTATGTCCTGTACTGTTCCCAGCCGATCTATCACTGCTCTTTTGATTAACTTTCTGTTGACCTTTCGAATATGATAGGTATTTATCATCCGTTCGATCAGTTTTATCATGAAAACTGTTGACTCGATTGTCTGAATGATCTCAAAACTTTCGTGTACAGCATTGTGACCACTAACCTATGTATCGTAAATTTGTTGAGTACTATTTTGGTTCTTGTCGGCTAAATTCGTTCTATTTTGTAGCTCCCGCAACTCATCATTTAATAAATGAACGATTCGATCTGGCCGGATACTATCATGATTCCAATAGACGGAATTCCATTGTTGTTTTACCTGACCATCTAATACAACACTATTTCTTAATAAACTTAATTTTAGTAATTCGATGAGTATGGTTTGATCACGTTGAGAAATGTAATCGGAATCTGTTCTTTCTTCTAGTTCCATTGTAGTTAAAAGTTCTGTTGCAAGTTGATTTATATCATCAACAAGTAAATAGCGTTCGTGATTGTTGGCTGCTGCTGACGGCAACTGTTTCACTGCCGAAAACATCTTTGTTTTCATTAAATGATGTCCCGTAATTGTCACTGTTTTACTTGTGTGCTTCTCTGTCTGTGTACTGTACTGTAAAACTAGACCATCCAACATTTTTGGACTTTGTTGGATACTGTTCAATAATGCCGAGCATACCTTACTTGTAGAACACTCGATTTGCACATCAAATTCATTTAGAAGCGCAGTATTCGGTTGCCAAGTTGTATCCAATTTATAATTCGATGAGAATGGATTTGTACGTTTCCATAGAACACGTAGATGTTCAGTTGGAACCATTGATATATCGCATACTTCCTGCGTTGAACTGCATCGATTTTGCGTATGTGATAGGTAATCTAAGATTGTTCGACGCAATTCATTTGTGTAAAGCACCAATGGCAATGTCAAGATGTGTTTTTCAACCAATAAATTATAGTGAATTTTTGTTTGATTGGTATCTAGTACGGCTAATGAGATTGCAGAAAAGGAAAAAGAATATGCCACCGGAAGAACAATTA